AGGGTTAAGAGCACTGGCTGCTCCTGCAGAGGACCTCGGTCCAGGTCCCAGTACCCACATGGCAGCTAACAACTGCCCATAACTCCATTTCTAGGGGATCCAGCAGCCTCTTCTGGCCTCCTTGGACATTGCATTCACAGGGATATCTACATAAATGCAGGCAAAATACTCATATACAGGATTGAAGAGATGTCTCAGAGGTTAAGAGCACTGGCTGCTCTTCCAGAGGACCCAGATTCAATTCCCAGCATGCACATGGCAGCTAACAACCATCCTTAGCTCCAGTTTCAGGAAATCTGATGGCCTCTTCTGAGCTCTGTGGGCATTGCACAACACAGGTGCACTTACACACATGCAGGCAATACATTCATATACATAAAAAAATAAAAATAATAAATAAAAATAAATGGCTTAAGCAAGATTGTAACTGAATCAAAACTCTGTTCTAGCTGGTTGCCAGTCAGAACTCATTCCCACCAGCAGCTGAGCAAACTATAATTTCAGCCCTAAAGGTAAGTGAATTTAATCTTTGACTTTATGTACATCAAAGTAGAAGATATTTTCAACATAATTCATGATCATCCATATATACCAAAAGTAGCATGTTGATAATAATTCTGAAGAGAAAAGATACATATGTGTTTGTAGTCTCTAGAATTTAAAAATGGGCTCTCCTGATGTCTATAAATTGTGTTCTGCTTATGATAATTGCATATATAGTGGCAAGAGCTTTTGTAGTAATTGTATCTTGGGGTAGCAATTCCTAATAGCATTCCAGGAGAGCAATGGTTCTCCATCAGGTGACTTGCCCCTAAGGGCCATTTGAAAATATTGAAGACATTCTGTGTGGTCATACATAACTCAGAATAGGTTGCTACTGGCATCTAGTGAGTGGATGCCATGGTCCAAGTATTGTGTAATGCAAATGACAGCCACCTTACAACCCAGATCCAGTCCCAAATGTCATTGATGCCTTGGCTGAGAAACCCTACTTCAGAATACATCTGTAAGGAGAAAAATGTTTCTGTAAGATATAAAATTAGGGTATATTCTCATAGTGTATTTTAAATATACTAACATATATATCCTTTCCCTAATATTCATGAAGTTTAATAAATAATAATGTTTGTGTGAGATTCAGAGGCTTAAGTAGTTATAGTAGGTAATTGTTTAAGCATCAACCAAATTAAACTTTCTTATGATAGTAATAGATGCCCTTTATTTGTCACCTGCTACTTGTCAGACACATGCATAGGCATGCACTGAAATAATACAGCAACTTTCAAGTTATATAATTTACCTGTTCTTTATCTTAGAAATAATAACTTGCCCATGGTCGTAAGCTTGAGAAACACAGATCTTACTGACTCTAAAGATGTGTACCTACTGAACCACAGTGAATAAACTTGCCACCATGATTCATTCATTCCTCTGTAAGTGCTGAGCCCCTCTAACAGAGGCTCCAGAGCCAAAGAACTTACATATTACTCTCATCTCAGCTACTTAATCAGCAGGAACCTTAGAGACATTAATAAATTCCCCTTCCTTTAGTGACTGGATCTATGAAATGCTACAGTATAACTATGTAAAGTAGTGAATGTAAACTATTAAATTAGATGTAGACCATGAAGAAAGAGTTTAAGAGATGAAGGAGATGAAGGTCTACAAATAAATACCAAGACAAGTGAATTTAGAGAGTAAAGAGTCAAAGAAAGAGAAAATCCTAAAGGAGAAGGGAGATTTAGAGACCCAATACTGCCCCTCAAGTTTGTGGATGGGTGTGACAGGAAGCAAAATGTAATGGCATAGTTCACATGTGCAGGGAGTTGATATATTGATCATAAAAGGAAATGGTCTGGTTTTTCTGAGCATACTGTTAAGTACACTTGGGTCATAGTTCATATGTGGGGGGATTTGATATATTGAGCATAAAAGGAGTTAATCTGGTTTCTCTGAGCATTTAAGTACACTTGGATGGTTTTTCTGTCCTTTCTTTTCCCCAGTGTGCTCATCTCATTATTATTAACCATTATGGAAACTGCCATAGAAAAATAATTGTTTTTAGGCTGGGTGTGGTAACGTATGCCTTTAATCCCAGTACTCAGGAGGCAGAGACAGGCGGATCTCTGTGAGCTCAAGGCCAGCCTGGTGTACATAGTGAATTCCAGGCCAGCTGGGGCTACAGGGAGACCCTGCCTCAAAAAGACCAAAAAAGAAAAATAGTAACTGTTTTTAGTAGGAGTTATCAAAATTATTATTATAATCATACTATAAGATTGGACCAATATGAAAATTTTAAAGTTCTGAAAATCTTGGTTGCCAGTGGGAAGTAGATGCCCATCTCTTCTGTACTTCTACATTGTTCCTCTTGTAAGAGCTAGCTAACATCTAAGTAAACATGTAGCATCAGTGCATTATTACTACCATGAGGATACATGGCATTCAACCACCTTGCCACAGTTAATTCTGACCCATTTTTGGTGAATTTTTCCCCTTGCAGATAGTGGCTCTATTACTAAATTTACATATGGCAACACTTCATGTCTCCTTTATTGTGTGGGTTTGATGTTCTATAAGAGAATATTCCAGATTGTTGATGCTCTGATATTTTTATATTCTTGCTTATTTTAGGTAAATCTTTTTTAAATGTATAGCAGGCTTTCCTATTTTGTAAGGAACATATGGAATACAATGTGATCTCCTTTTGTTTCCTTTGGTAATTATTTGTCCCTGCTCATATTTGATATGATGGCTTTCCCCAAGACGTTCTCTTCTCTTCCCATGCCTTATTTCCATAAGTGGGAACTGCACCCAGTTATGAAGTTTTCTATCAGTTCTTCAAATTGGGAGTTTTATTTCTTCCTTTTTAATGTTTAGGCTGTTTTTCCATGCCCTGTTTCTCTATGACCACTAGTCCTATGTTGAATAGAAGTGAGGTAGTAGACCCCACTGATTGATTCCTGACCTGGAAGAAGTCATTCATATTTTATATTCATATTTTCATTTTAAGTATAATAGTAGCTATAAGGTTAATGGTGTAATGATTTAGTTTTAAGTGTTTTGTAGATGACATTTGCCAGATTAAACAACTTTTGTATTCTTAATTTACTGACTTTTAAATTATCAATCGTATTATTTCATTAGTTTTTCTTCTACAGTTAATAGTTCAGTTTTATTCCTTTGTTCTACTAATAAAGTACATTACAGTAATTTACTGCAAATATTCAAAACTTTGTCGTAATGTATTACCCTTTGTATGCATTTCTGGATTTGATTTACTTAAGTTTTGTTAAGAGTGCTTATATCTCTATCCTTAGATAACACATAGTTTTCTTGTGTTATGGATGTTTTATTTTGTTATCAAATTAATGCTAGTCTCAATAGATGAGTTTTGAAGGATTTTCTGTTGTATAGAACAGTTTATAAATTATTTGTATTGTCTTTTTCCTTCAGTGTTAAGATTCATTAGTGAAGGCTTCTGGCCTATAGTTTTCTTTGTAGGAAGGTTTATGACTACAAATTTAATTATTCAATAGATAAATAGCCATTCAGGTTATTTCTTTACCTTGGAATGAATTTTGATACTTTATGACTTCAAGGTATTTGTTTATTCATCCACGTTATCTAATTTGTCAGAGTAATCTGCGTAGGAGTCACTGTCTGTTAATAGTTTAACTAAGACCAGCTTCTCTTTCTGATATTAATTTGATCTTCTAAGGAACCAACTTTAGGCTTTATTTTTTCTATTATTTGTTTTCTATTTTGTTGAATTTTATTTCCTTCCATTTCAGTTTCCTGTGTGTGTGTGTGTGTGTGTGTGTGTGTGTGTGTGTGTGTGTTATCCAGACACAAAAAAGAAGCACCTGGAGGTAGGATCTTAA